ATTTGAATAGAAATTTAAATAGTATACTTTATGGGACAGGTATATAGAGCTGTGGTACTTGAATTGAAAATGTCATGCAGTACATTATCACAAATTGTAAGGATTAGGAAAAAAAGATTCAGGTACAAAAGGGTTAATTATAAGAGGCAACTCATGTCATCTATGATCTGATGAAGAGCAAAATAATCAGAAGTTTGGTAGAACATTTTCCAACTGATACATTTTTCTTTAAAAGCCTGAGGTTTTGTAGCTCGTAAGGTCAATTAAAATGAAGCTGCAAATTACAACAGTGGACAGGTATCAGCAAAACTATGTTAATTCAGATTACAAGAACCAATCAAGGGTCAGGTTTCCCTCCTTTCAGGTGACTTTTTGAAAGGGGAGGGACAGCCTCATATTTTATTTTATTTTTGTCTTCCATGCTGGGAAGAAATATTTTCTCTTTTCAAACAGGATTCATGGAGTTTTCCGGTTCTTTTTTCTCTCTTTGTCTTCAATTCTCAATTAGCTTAATCTTCATCTACCTTATATTGTAACCGACTTGTATCTTTTTCTGAAATAACTAGTTTCATTCTGGCAGGGAATTTATCCTGGTCTAGCTATCAAAAGGCAAGAAAGGGGAGAGAACAGTTTCTGCTCCTCTCCCAACTGATGGTGGCAATGATAGATTCCCCATCCCCCACCCCACTCTGAACTGTGAACAGGTGTAACAATCATGGGGAAGCACTTAGAGTCCATGGCTAATGCACCACATCTCAAGTGTTCACTCCATTATGCACATGTCTATTGTTCATTTTATTATTATTATTTTGCAATCTTATATTACAGCAAAGGAGAAGAGCAAGCACTGAAATGAACAAAAAGGGGAGAGATGAATTCTCATAGGTGCCAGTGAAAAAAGGAGTTTATTGATGACCAATGAATTTTAGAAATGTATTCTTTCTTCAAGAGTACTGTAAAAACAGAAACAATAGAAAAGAGAGCACTAACATGATTTACAAGACACATGTAACAATGCTTTAAAAATACATAAAATATTATGTATGCTCTAACTAATTCAGGATAGCCTGAATGAATGTTCTGTTTATTTTGCTTAAGTAGGGCAGAAAAGAATGTTGCTGTAATAAGCCCAAAAATAATAATATAGTACAATGAAAATGATACTCCTAAAGCACGTTGTATATACTTGTCTCTAATGTAAATGAAAACAGAAAAGACTCCTAAGTACAAAATAAATTGTTGTTTACCTTCTGAATACTTGTAAACCAGTCAGCTGGCCTGTTGTGTGAAACTGAATGTAATGAGGATGAGAACAGCTGTGGTAATTTATAATGCTAGAAAAATATTGAGGACTATGACAGCAACAATCTTAGACATGTTTGAATTTGTTTGTATTTCTTAAAATATGTTTCACTATAGTGGCCCAGATTCTTTGTTTTCTTACATTGCCTAATAATTTCAGTTCTAATCTTGTATTTTTGCCCACATAAACCTTAGGACAAGGGCACTATATGGTATATACCACCTGAACGCCAATGCTCATAATGGAACTTTGCAAAGATTCTCTGTACCTCTAAAGAATTAATGAAATTAATGAAAGGAGTTGTTTTATGTCTGCAAGGAAAGAAAGGAATAATTCCATTATAAATATGTTCATTAACATCAATCCCTTATATTAAATCATTTCCAATTCATGTCTTTGAGAATCTTTGTCCTCTTATAGGCAAAGCAAGGGATTGTCCCGTAGCCTGGAAGGTTCTTAAGCAACTCCAGATCAAAGTGCATGTCATCCAATCATTCTCTGTATTTTAGGAGCCATGTGGTGCAGCGATTAAAACAGGGGTCCCCAACCTTTCTGGGTTGGCGGACCGGGGCGGGGGGTGGAGGCACCTTTACACGCATGCGCAAATCGGACTGCATGCACAGATGAATGCGCTGAGATTGCGTGCATGATGCAAATGGGGCGATGAGTGCCCAGGCGATGCTAGTGACTGGGCAATGCTGCTATGCTAGCATGAGTGTGTGCTCGCAGCAATGCTAGTGCCCACACAATGCTCGCAACATCACTAGTACCAGCACAATGCCATGATGCTAAGCGCAAATGGGGGGTTAGCATGCACACACGCATACACTGGTCAGCATGTGGCCCAGTGGCCAGCAGCCCATGGCCCAGTAGTGGGCCACAGCCCACAAGTTGGGGACCCCTGGGTTAGAATGCAGTATTACAGGCTAATTCTGCCCACAGCCAGGAGTTTGGTTTGACCAGCTCAAGATTGACTCAGCCTTCCATACTTCCAAAGTAGATAAAATGAGGATCCAGATTATTGGGGACAATATGTTGACTTTGTGATATAAGTGCTATTGTAAAATAGTGCTCCTCTAATTGTCTCATCCCTTTTCCAAAATTAGTTTCCATTGCTGATCTGATTCTTTCTAAGAATCATTCTTAGAGTTCAAGTGGTGCTCTAAATGTTTTGGGATTGCACTCAAAACATCTATTACTATTGGAACTGTATTTGCTTTCTTTTGCCATAGTCATTCTACTTATCTTGACAGGTTTTGTATTTTGTTATTTTCTCTGAGTTTTTCTCTTTTTCTCTTTTGCTGTCTTTGGGTTCTGGAACTTCCAATAGTCAGACTTTTTTGTCTTTCTTATCAACAATTGTTTTAGTCTGGGGCGTTGTGTGACAGCTACTTGTTTGTTTGAACTCTAAAGTCACAGAGCACTTTAGTATCTTCATTTTCTATCACTTTGTCTATTTTGTAGTTCCTATCCATTCTGCTTGCAGGCAAGTGGTATTTCTTGCAGATATTCAATGCACTACTATTGTTACTTTGTCATGCCATTGTTTGTAATCAGTCTTTTTGCAGCAGGTGATCTACTATTTCTTCAGCTTCTTTACAGAAACAACATTTGCTGTTGCTTTTTCTCAATTCTGGTTTTGTATGCATTTATTCTTAAGGTCTGGTCTTGTGCAGCCAGAATTACCCGCTCTATATTTTTCTTCAATTTCCTGCTATTAGCCATTGTCAGGCCTTCCGGTTTTCTGATTGGCCTGCTATTTTTTCTTTTATGTAATGTAATACTTTGCCTTGCCATGTCTCTTTTCTGTTCTTCATATAGTCTTTCATGTAGATCAGTTTGGTCTCTCCGGTAGTCAGTAAGCCTTCATGGTATTCTAGCTTCAGTGCATCTTCTTCACTCTCCTTCAGATATTTTTCCAGTGCCTTTTCTTCTTCTTCAATAGTTTGGTGTACTTGCAACATTGCCTGCCCACCTATGTTCCTTGGTAAATAGAGTCTGTTAACATCACTGTGCTGATATATTGTCATTATTTTTTCTGGTCTTCCTATCCAGAGGTTGTAGTACAGCTTGAGTTCAGTCCAGTATTCTATCTGTATATCTAATGACTGGTATTTCCCAGGTTATAATAAACTATTGTAATAATGATAATATATGCATTATATAAAATGTAATATATTTAATAAATATATTACAATAATAAATTATTTTTCTTAAACAAAAACTTTTTTTGCAAAAAAATCTTATGTATTCTGTCTGCAATCTGCATATTGAAAAGTTCGATTAGAATGGCTTTATTAATTATGTAAATATGTTGTATACTTAGGAAATATTGCACATATTCTGAATATGTATTACTACTTTCCTGAAATAACTCCAAAATATAATTTTTGGAATTTTCCTAATTAGAATTAAAAATAAAGCTCTGACAATTATGCACTATAACACATTCTTACAAAGAAAATAATCAAAAATTACATATTTGAGAGAAAAGCCATTACTCTTTTTAAAACTTCTTATTCTTGGAACAAGAGTAATAGGAGACTTAATTATATATCATAATTATATATCACAATGAAGAAAAGATGCCAAGTCATGTATGCTAAGTTATACCTATATATGCAAATTTAAAAGTGAAATTCCAATCCAAACATGTTTAATTGAATTACTCTTCAATTAATTTGCACCCCAGCATGTAAATGAGATCAAACATGTACTTCAATTAACTTTCACTCAGTTAATTATCTGGTTTGTAGCCTGAAAGGCAGAACAGAAGAGAATTCTTAAAGAAGCAAAAACTTCATTCCTTAAGTTACCATGAATGTTTTAAAAATGAGATAAAGTGATTAGATAGTTGTAGGTCTTTTGAGAGTAGAATGTTTTGATGTTTTTTAATCCGAAAGCCAGCTATTTGTTCACTCTATGTAAAGCTTCTATATACCCATTCAACTTTCAGATTACACTAGTTCATGTCCTCTTTCAATCCTTCATCCAGTTAGCTCCCAAGTGTACAAATGCTGTTAATAAACATCCAGACATACCACCACACAAACTTGAGTCTGCCAAGTTGTCTGCGACAACCCTAAAATAACAAATTGTCCAGGTTGTCTACTCATAAACAAACAGAATCCCTTGGAAAGTTTGAAATTAACGAAACATTTAGTGTCAGTAATTAATCAACATGGATCTCCAATGACGATGTCAATACAATTATTAATTAAACCTAGGCGTTAAACATAAATAACTAATTAGTTTGTACGGGTTACCTTTTAAAATAAACTGAAGAAATAGTATAATAATGTGATGATTAAATGGATATTTTTGGTACATTTTGCTTCTCATTCACCATTATGATTGCACTCTAGATTAAAATAGCCATAAAAGATAAATAAGTGTGCTGATAACTCATACTTAACTTATTAATGCATCATTGTTTTTCATTTTACTACTTTGGTATTTCTTTTTTCCATGGTCCAACATGGTTGCTAACATTCTGACTTAGATATGTTTCTATATCTTTTAAAATAGACAAATTTTAATGAGCTTTCTATTAACTGACAGGCGCGTGGGAAAGGGAGGAAATCTGATTATTTATCTAAGCAACAGTAGACAGCAATTTAAAGCAAATTCATTCCTCAAAGATTAAAAGTAGGAGCAGTGGCAGAAATGTGCAGATAATTCAAGTACACATACTTACAGTCACTGATAGCTGGGGTCCATTAAGTTGTGCTTGTAAAATGGCCTCATTGATTGAGTACCGAATACCCAGCAATGCCAGTTCTAGATCATGAGTTCCAGCCATTTCATTGGTGAGGTATTCCAGGGTATAGATATATTCCCTCCAATGAATGTCCAGCTCAGATACGCTAGCAAAACAACCTCTCATCACATTTAGACAATATCCTTCACAGGGCCTGATGAGAGTCAGGCCTTGGCAGTGAGGACAATACTGCATTTTCACAAGGCCTCGGATACATTCTTTGGTTAAAACAGCATGCTCAGTGGCATTTAGCACTTCAACACCCATTCCCAAGGCCTGGTTGAATGTTCTGCTTGCCCTCAGAGACTTTGCTAGCTCCATAACAGCTTCTTTGGAATAGCGTCCAAATGGATTGATGTCTTGTCGTGTTTGTCGCAGGCATTCCATATATTCTTCTGACAAGTCCGTCATGCCAGGGTTTATCAAGCGGGTATAAACCAAAGGGAAGAGGCTGTCGAAGAACCGGGAAAATGCTTTTTCCACTCTGTTTTGAGCACCCAAGAGGTAGAGAGAGAGGTCTGTAAAAAGTTCTTTCACAGGCTCAGCTGCCTCCTTTGACATGGATCTGTAGACAGTCTCAAAGAGAGAAGCGGTGTGATTCTCAGCAAAACGAAGCAGGGACTCAAAGGCTGCTGCAGAAATACATTAAAAGTGAAGGGAAAGTCAGTGTTTCCTTAATACAGCTCAACAACTTGGATCTAAATATTAGACCAGTACTAATTATTATGCAGTTGCTTTACAAGACAGCTAGGCATTTTTTTTCTACTTCACAAATTGGTGCAGTTGAAATGGGGAAGGGGAATCTCACTGCTTTTATTGCTTTTCAGTGCTGCTTTGTTTGATGCTGACATAGAATCTCTAAATGCTAGAATACCTGGAAAGCCTGCCCTAATTGGGTATCTACAAAATTTCAATTCCCAGAATATGCCAGTCCTGGGTTTTCTGAGGAGGTAAAGTTATACTGTATATATAGGGATCTTCACTTGGAAAAGCTGGACTACATAGAGACTTCTCCAAAGCTAAATCCATGGTAAAGCAGAGACCATAGTTCACTGAATATTTTTGTTTCCTTTGCAAAGAAATTCAGTACCTGGCATATCCAATTAGGACCAAAAATCTGAAATTTTAGTGAAATGTGGTTCAATGCAATGTACAGCCCTGAATGTTAAAGCATTTCTTCTGTAAATCAACTTCTTTTGTGAAATATTTTAAGAGCAACTGAGAGGAAATAGGGGAGGATTAACTGTCACTCTTCTGACAGACCTTGGCAGATATATAAGAAACATCTGGATTGCAAAGTACCAGCTGAATTAACCCCCAATTAAGACTATGCAACCACTCAAACATTTTATATATAAATTATATTGAAGGGGTAAATAAAATAATAGAATATAAAACTTATAATGAAGTAATTAAAGTTTCTTTACTAAAAGATTATTAAAAGAACTCATGAACAATTCTTTTCCTCTTTAAATGCACTCAAATTCTTGATACAGAAGATAGAATTTCTTGACTTTTCTAGTTCATAAACACATGTAGGTTGGTAAGGTGCAGATTTGTTATTTCTACCATATTGCTTCATTCCCTTTATCCTATTCAACATTGCTTGCTACAGTTGTAACTTTAAACCAGTGCAATATATAGAAAACCTGAGGAGCCCATAGCCATTGGAAGATAACATTATGCTCCATTCAGCCTGCTACACAACCTTAAGATATAACGTGATTTTAGGTTCTGTAAATCTGTGCAATTTACAATTAAAATATGATTCAATGTTTGTTTTCAACCTTTAAAGTATTAAATAGTTTAGGATCTGGCTAAGGGAGTGACCACCATATTAGTATGAACTTGTGTGGTTGCTAAGGTCAACAGCAGAAGCCTTCTTTAAGATATATCTTTGAGGTCCATTCATTATATACACAAGATAAGGAATTTTCTGCATTTCTAACAAATTAATGCATTAACCTCCATTGCTTCTGCCTTTAGGTAAGAGGTCAGGATTGTCTTTCCCAATCATGCCTTTGGAGTTACTTAAGGAGAATTTTAGGTATGGTTGATAGGAAGGGAGATAAACAACTAGTAACTTTTATGTATTTTGCACTATTTACATATGAGCTGCAAGTCTATTAAATCTAAATAAGCAAGCATTTTTGTGTGTTGCCTTTTTTTATCTCAGGCATCTTGAAGTGGTCTAAAATTAGATGGAGAGTATTAGTCTGATAAAAAGAACAATCAAACCAGTATTATTTTCCAATACTACAGTCTTACTTCCTTTCCAAACATGAGGCTGACTTGCAGCAATTCTGTTTTACCCAAGCAATTTTTTTCCAGTTCAGGATTCAACAGATATTTTAATTAATTCAGCAATTGATCTTGCAGCCTAGGACTTCATTTTGCATAAACTAATTTAGCAGTTAAAGAAAAAGTTTAGTCAAGAAGCAGATGAACAAATACCTAGCATAAAACTCCCTTTTTATGACCTATAATTCTTTAATTCAGGGTAGAGTCAGGGAGAACTGGATGGAGCTGAGCGTTTACTGGCTGGATACCCTTTCTGATGCTATGGGGAATACACAGCAGGTATTTTTTTTTCTTTGTGCCCTTGGAGAGAAACATTTGCTGCTACCTAGGATTGAACACAGAACTTTCTGAGTGGGAGGCAAGTGTCTTCACCACTAGGCCACCACGCCGTTCAAACAAATAACTGGAATAAGCCATAGCTATATAGTTTATTACTGTATAATACCGTTTCTGAAGATGTGTGTTTGTGTTACATGTTCAATTTTGAAGCTGACAATTCTATGTGATCATGATATCACAGGATAGGCACTGATTAAATGATTGGAAGCAGACTTGATATAATATTTCAAAACAGTTCTATTAGCTCTTTGAAAAACATGATAAGATTATAATAACTTACAAATTGAATGTTTTTGTAATTCTATGACCCTTGAAAAGAAAGAAAAATTCAATTTCATTCCTATATAACTTGCCAAGTAATATATTGAGGCAACTTTTACAACTCAGCTGTAAAATTGTAAAAATGCAGTTTATAATGGAAAGACTGACATTGCAAAAGCTGTAGTATTGTACAGAAAAGCTACTGTACTCTAAGTGGAACAATGTTTTCTAAAACCTCTCTGTTAGTGTAAATTTGTTAGTGTAAATGGGATGAATGAAAAATGTTGGGAATGTAGACTCTTTGTACATATTTGAATGAATGTTATCTTCCCACAATTCATTTTGTTCCCAATTTCAATAGTTTATGAAACAAAGGTGAAAATGGAATACAATATGGCAAACTTAAACTGGGTCATCTTTACAATCTGTAACCCTAAAGTCAGTTTGTTTTTCAATAGTTAAAAGGTACCATGAGATAAACAAATTGGTTGAATGATATTCCCAGCTCTCGCATATTAAAAAAAAATCATGCTGTGCACACAGGTCAGTAACCTCTTTTATAAAAGAGTAGTTCATTTGTTTTGTGTTGTTGTCCTGTTTTGATTGCATAAAGTATGCAGCTTTTTATCTTATTTGAAAGTATAATTTTCATATATGTCTCAGAATTCTAGATAGATGATCTGTTAAGCCAAATCTGGAAGTAAAGGATGCTGATATAAGTGGAAAATTGTAACTAAAAAGTTGTTAATCTCCAGATCTACTGTACATAAATGAGAGAAAGGTTTTTTCCCTGAACATTCATTTAGGTACATTGTACCCAATTTGTACAAGACATATTCAACTCTAAATCTTCAACTGCTTAATTTATGAGTTATTAAATAACACAGTTGGCTAGATTATACAGAAGTCATATTTCCAAACTAAATGCATGCAGTAATTCAGTGTAACATAAGACAAACTAATCCTACCAGCAAGCCTCCATAAATTCCACTCTCCAGAAAACATATGGCATCCCTACCTCAAGAATTAAATTTACATTATTTTCCATTCCCAAAGGCCCTCTGGAAGATCAAGGACTACATCCCCCCTGAGACACAAGTAGGGATAGAGATTTCTTTATTTCCAGGAGGACTGGCCAGAGTCACTCTATGATAGAGATGGGCGGTCCCTAAATAAGGTACATAAATAAATAAATAAATAAAAATATGTTCCAGACAAGTAGAAAACCTTGTCTATTTGGATTCCTGATGCAAACATACACACTTAGGGAGTGGGAGAACCTATAGCTGCCTTCCCTCAACATTTTTGCTTGATGGGCAGATTCCAACCCATGTTGTAAGCTATACTGGAGTTAAAAAGTAACAATCACCTCCTTGAATCTCACCTGGAAGCCTAGTAGCAACCAATGCAGCTCCTGCAGTAAATGGCATCATGTGGGCAGAACAACCTTAGCCCATCACTACCTTGGCTGCTGCTGCTGCTGAAGAATAAATTAACCAAGGAAATAGCTTGACATAACAAACTGGCTTCAGATATACTTCCTGCTTAGCAAAATGCTTAAGAGTATACAGTAAGTTACAAACAGCTCCTCTGGCCCTGAAAACGCAAACTCAAGAACTAGTTACTGGAAAGAGGATGCCAACTCCTGAATATTGCTCAAGGCATGCTGACTACACAAAATAAATGCTAAAAATACCGGGTTGCTCTGGGAGTCAGTTCTATTGCTGTCTTTTTCATGTAAATAAGATCACCATGTAAGCATTTGCCTTGCCCTGTCTTAGTGGACAGAATCTTGTATTCCGTTTCCTGCACAGTTCAATAAAATTGATTCAAGCAGATGATGTGGTCTCCACTTGTCATTTAGATCAGGGTGTTTCCCCCCTTCACTCCAGTTTACATCAGCCGCAGTTTCTAAACTATTTTCATTCAGAGTGAGATGTAGTAGTTCAGACACAAAATAATAAGGCCATACGTGATTATAACAAAGCCTTTCATTCCAGTAACAGTGTTCAAGATGAAACTGAGCCAAAGGTCTCCACTTGTTCTTCCAGAAGGAGTGTAACACTTTCATATTTTTAATCTTTGGTTCTGGGTAGGATGGTACTTCCTGTGCAGAGCAGATTCACAATCCAGGAGATTGACTGGATCTACAGTCCCATTCAGATCCTTATAGACTTATCCTGATCTTAACAGAACTTAACAGATCTTAACAATAAGAATTTTAGCACATCTGCTGCATGCTCCAGAGTGGATATAACAATTGGATATCTTCAGCTTGGTATTAATTTCTGACAACATGCTGGCTTCGTGCAGATATTGACCATAAGGATTAGTGTGGTTGTAATATATTTTTCAGTCCGGTAGAAATCAAAATAAGCTGTTATTTTGTTCATGGTAGCTTTTTATTGTCATCATTATTGGCTTGACTATGAAAAAGAAACTTTAGATATAAATTTAATTCACTTATTAGAATAAGAGACTTTCTTCGTCTCAAAAAGGATAAGATTATAGTCAGGAAACTATTTTTTTATATAAAATGCACTTAATCTTTTTTAAAAGCAAAATTCTTGTCACTACATGTGTGTGTGCGCGCGCACGTGTGTGTGTGTGTTATATAAATATATAACAGTATCTCAATGAGCCATGCCATTTTGTGGGTAGCTTCTACTTATTTTCAGCATATTTACTTTACTTTTTTCATTTAATGCAAAGGAGAGTACTGAACTATAGA